ACCAAGCACTGGATTTACCTTCCATTAGACATTATTGCTGAAACTTTAGCAAGCACTGGACTACACTGATAAACTGCTATCATGTCACTAGTATATTTAAATGCCTTTATTTGGGAATTTCACCCATCCACCCCCTTTTAACAGCCCCTAACTGCACAACAATACGCCCAGGTGGCCGGAGGGTGGGCGAGGCCCGTTTGACACCCCAGCTAAACGGGAAAGGAGCTGGTGGGGCAGGCCCAGGGGACCCCCCCAGCCCCTCCCCGGGCGGGTGTGGGCAGGCAGGGTGGTGCTGAGGCCCCTGCCCTGGCAGGAGCAGGACGAGGTGCAGCGGGCGGAGCGCATGCTGCAGCAGGCCGAGCGCCTGGGCTGCCGCCAGTTCGTCACCGCCACCGACGTGGTCCGCGGGAACCCCAAGCTCAACCTGGCCTTCATCGCCAACCTCTTCAACAAGTACCCGGCCCTGCACAAGCCCCACAACCAGGACATCGACTGGGGCTCCATCGAAGGTGAGGAGGGTGGGGAGGAAGGCTGCTCCCGGCCGTGCTGCGTCGCTGGGGGCTGCTCTTCCCCTCCCCGCCTCTGGTGTTTTTGGAGGTCTCTTCCAGGGATTGTTAGGAGGCAAAAGTGTTTGGGGGCTGTCTGAAGCAGTGTGGGCTGTGGAGCTTGTGTGTTCGTTGAAATTAGAGTGGATCTGGCACTCCCTGAATTAGAAATATCATGTAAACATCAGATCTGGGATAAACCTGCTGCCCACGCCCCCTGGGCTGGGGTCAGAGCCTCCAGCGTAGAGAACATCTGCTGAACTTCAAATCTTTCTTTCCCATCCTCACAATGAGCATCATGCCAAGGCACAGGCTGATCTTGAATGCTTGAAGGCATTTTGAGGCCCCATCTGCCTAAATACTCTGATATCTGGGGCAGGAGGAGGCGTTTCATGCTGTGCTGTGCTCTCTCATGCCACCCCAGCCAGTGCCTCCTGCTCGTGGCCCAGCCTGCTGTAGATCTGAGTCCTGGTTCCAGCTGAGGACACTCCACTGCAGTGTTGGGTTTGCAGGGCTGTGGATTGATCTGTCTGTTGGTTTAGGTGAGACAAGGGAAGAGAGGACGTTCAGGAACTGGATGAACTCCCTGGGTGTTAATCCACGTGTAAATCACTTGTATAGGTAAGAAGAGCTGTTACACTTCACTCAGATGATAAATAAAGCCAGCAAATTGTTTACAAACACATAAAACCTTTGGGATCCTGTAAAAATATATGCTGCTTTTTTTTAGGAAACTCAATTTACCTCTACTAATAGATTACTTGGCTTCCCTCCCTCTGTTCTCTGGACAATGACAAACCTTTGTTATTGTTTTCAGTGACCTGTCAGATGCCTTGGTGATCTTCCAGCTCTATGAAAAGATCAAAGTGCCAGTAGACTGGAGCAGAGTGAACAAACCACCATACCCCAAACTGGGTGGCAACATGAAGAAGGTACCAGAAGCTGGAATAGCTCCAGCAGTGATCTCTGTATGATTCCAAACAGCAATGTGGGCACTCAGCTTTGTCTCCAGTCTCAAGTACACGACATGAAATGATTTTTTTGCCTAGCCAGTGAATAATTTTTCACCCTGAAAAGAAACACACATTTCACTCACTGGTTCTGCTGACAGGTGAACAGTGTTTGGAAAGGGAAAAGGCCAACACCTTTTGTGTCAATATTTACAGACTGTGTTTGCAGACCAGGTTTGCTGCTGTCTCAGTCACCAGTGATGGAGCATCCTCACCACGAGCTGCAGCTCTCTGGGTCACTGCCCTGCACACCAAACAAAGACAGTGATGATCTTCAGGAGGTGCCCCAAGAAGCCACCACAGAGCTGCTGCTGAGCACAAAGCTTTCTCCCAGCTACCAGCAGAAGCCATTCCATCCAGCTAGGCCAGTGATGAACAGATCTGCAGCACTGCCTGGGGCACTGATCCTGTATCTCAGTGCAAAGCCACAATGCTGGAGGTCCCCATTTCCCAGGGCAATCTCTTTTTCAGGCCCTGATGATGCAGTATGACATTTTATTTTCTATGCTAGCTGTTTACCATGGTATTTTGGGGATGGAACTGGCTGCTGGTAGTCAAACAGCTCTGACATCACAGAGCCTGAAAGTTCCTGCTTGCTCAGGAGGATCAGGGCTAAGCAATCCAAAGATTTTAAAGTATCATTGTCTTGCCTTCTTCTTCCCCTCTCCCCCAACATGTCTTTTGCTCTGTGCTAATTGATTTTCTCATTATCAGCTGGAAAACTGCAACTATGCAGTGGAGCTGGGGAAGAACCAAGCCAAATTCTCCCTCGTGGGCATCGCCGGGCAGGATCTGAACGAAGGGAACCGGACGCTCACGCTGGCCCTGGTCTGGCAGCTGATGAGGAGGTGAGGGACCCAGGCAGGACTGGAAGGGGCTGTGGCACACTCAGTTTGCACTGTGAAAGTTCCCTGATGCTGTCCCTGGGAAGGCTCTGCAGGCTGCAGCTCTCTCACTCCTCTCTGTACACCCACACACAAAGACCTTTGGCTCCCTCTGGTCAGGGATGTGCCCAGGGGGGACATTTTGGGCAAGGCCACTCCCATCAGCTCAGGCAGGAGATTGTCACTGGCACCATCTGTCCAGCATGAAGAGATGTTCAGTGCATGGGAGAGAGAGAAAGAAGCTGAAAGGTCTCTGCACTGGGGAATGGGGAGAGTGCACTGGAAACTAGGAAAGGATGCAGCAGCTTTGTGATCTGCCACGTGAAGCAGACACAGCTCAGCAGCTCTCTCCACTTCAACGTCACTCTCTGTGTGTGGGGGTGTGTTTAAGAGCTCCACAACTGGGTGTAAAGGGCCCCAGTGGTTGTGAACTGAACAGAGACTGAAATCAGCCTGTAAAGCAAGGTCCAGGTCTGTCAGGCAGTGATCACTGAGGATATGGTGACTCCTTGCCATCAATTTGGGATCTTTCTAAGGAGCTTTGAGGATTTTTGAGTAGCACAAAATTTGGACACTCCCCAAACTGTGAGTAGGGAATTGGGGATGAATTAGAGCAATTATAATAATTATCACCTTATAATTCATGAACACTGTGAGTGTGTGGGAAGCAGGGAGGTGTCAGGTCTAGGAGAACTGTTGGGGTGATTCCAGCCTGTACAGGATGGTTCTGAGGTCACAGTGACTTTGAGCTAATGCAGGAATCCTGGCTCCCCTCCTCAGGTACACCCTGAATATCCTGGAAGACATTGGTGGTGGAGAGAAGGTGAATGATGAAATCATTGTCAGCTGGGTCAACGAAACACTGACTGCAGCTGGGAAGGATTCAACCATCTCCAGCTTCAAGGTAGGGACCTTTGTCTCTGAATCTCTTGTTCAGTGTGTTTGTGGGCATGTTGCACACACTGTCTGCAGAGAGATGTGTATGTGCAGGAATGATAACTGGGATTAATAAGAACAGCTGTGCTGCTGATAATTAAACAGCAATTACTAATTACTCAAGCAGTATTAGGAAGAGCAGCAGCAGCACGTTCATAATCTGGCAGCACCACTCAGGTGAACCTTGCCCTGGTTTGCTAAGTACCACAAAAAACACAGAATGGGACCATTTCCAGAGAGCTGCTGGTTTGGCTGATGCCTCTGCAGCACGTCCCAGGCTGGGGAGCAGTGAGTGGGTGTAAATCACCAGCCTGCACCAGGCCAGGGCAGATCCATCAGGCTTCACAGCACGAGCTCAGGAGCCACACGGCCGCTTCCCCTCACACCTCCCACCAGCAGACACCTCTCAGTGTCCCCTCAGGAAGCACAGGCACTGGCTCAGCACCCCATCCTTTGCTTTAATGGTGTTTCATCCACTGGGGGAGAGAAATAATCCTTGAAAGGGTTCCTAGGCTGCCTGAGATGCAAACTGCTGCTAAGCACCCCCTTGTGAAGATGCAAGTGGGGTTGGACTGAGCTGCTCACTGCTCCTGAGCCCAGGCTCTGGCTCTGGGGCAGACCTGTCATCCTGCTCTTGCATCTGATTGTACTTTCCATCCACACAGGACAGCAAAATCAGCACCAGCATGCCAGTCCTGGACCTCATTGATGCCATCCAGCCAGGATCAATCAAATACGACCTCCTGAAAACAGAGGACCTGGACGATGAGGAGAAACTCAACAATGCTAAGTAGGTTCACCCCAAGTGACACTTCACACGAGCTCCACGCTCAGGCCTCCCTGGCTCTGCCTTTGAAACCTGCTCTGCTCTCACCCTCATCTGCCATAACCTCACCAGGGAAATGCCTCCAGAGGGAGAAGCATGAAGGCTGGGAGTTAGGCAGTGAGAAAGACCATCAGTGGAAATGAAGTGTGTGATGTTATAACTCCTGCTGCTGTGTAATTCCCTTGGAGGGCTGGAAATCACTTGGCTTCACAAGCTCCTCTTTCCTCTTATTAAATTTAAAACTGTTTCAGAGATCAGGGAGTAATGCCAGCAATAGTGAGCCATGGAAACCAGTGACTAGAGGTCATGCTGCCTCTTTAGTCCCATACAGGTGGAACAAGGGCATTTTTTTCAGAGAGAAGAGGGATGACAGGATTCATGCCTGAAAATCTGGTTTTATGGATGTGAATATTGATCTTTTTTCCTGAGTGCAAACCATTCCCTAGCAGAGAGCCAGTCCTGGGGGCATCTCTCTCAGAGTCACACAGATCACCTCCTGGTCTGATCACCAGTTTAGCTTCTTTGCTGTGTGGCAGCTACAAAAGAGAAAAGGGTGGCTGTAAGGCAGTCAGAGCTGCTATCACTTTTAGAAAGACTTTTTTCCCAGTGTTGTTTTCCCCTTTCCATTCCCTACCATCTCTTCTCTTTCTTTCCCCACAATTCTACACATCTTTCTCTCCACATTTAATTTCTTCATCCTTCTCTTTTCTCCACCCTTGTGAATTTCTTTATGTGCAAAGACTGAGTCACAGAGATTGAGGTGTTGGTATTGATCATGGGAAAAACCTCTTAACAGAGTAATGCCACTGCAGTCATGTATAACTTTGTGGTTTGTTTTGTTTCCTTTCCCCCTGCAATGCAGATATGCCATCTCTATGGCCAGGAAAATCGGAGCCAGAGTCTACGCCCTTCCAGAAGACCTGGTGGAAGTAAAACCCAAAATGGTCATGACAGTGTTTGCTTGCCTGATGGGGAAAGGCATGAGGAAAGTTTAAAGCACAAAGGACTTGTACTGATGCCTGGTATTCACCCTTTTGATTCCCTCAGACTGGATGCTCTTCTCTGTATCAAGGAAACACGCAGGGTGCTCATGCTTTTAAGGCATGAAAGTTACAGTTCCAGATCATACAAAAGTTGTGTATCCAGGACATGTTTTGTTTTGTTTTGAACAGGAATATGTGCTTGATTTCTTTGCCTTATTTTCCTCTTTGCTAGATATAACCATTTCATATTCCTGAGGAAGTTTTCCATAGCCAGGCCTACACATATCCCTCTGTTAATGGCTATCAGGGGTTTCTGTCAGAGGTCACCTGGAGGTCTCCATCTCCAGAAGTACAGACAGCTTTTAGGATTATGAAATGTTATATACTGCTTCAGCCTGAAAATGCTTTGGGCAGCATTTCTGCCATGCTGGCCTTCAGTTTGCACCTGGGATGACAAACAGGGTTTCCCCCAAGCCAATGCAAGTATTAGTGACTGTATTTTTTGGAGTGGTAGGATCCTCTTAGGAATTCTCATGGAAAGAAAGGGTTGTTTGGGGTCTGCTCTGTGTTGCTGGTATGGGAACTGAGCAGTACTTGCCCCTGCAAGTCATTCCTCTGCTCTCTGTGGTGTTACATTACTACTCACTGAAAAAAAACATACCACAACTTGGTCCTCCAAGGACACCCAAACTCTGGAACCTTTACAGGAAATGCTCTCCAAAGGATAATTCATTTTTATGTCACAGAACACTTCAAACCTCAGCAGACTGCAAGGTGTGAGAGAAATGAAAACCACCTTAGAGAAGCTAACAGGATGTACTTGGTTAGCAGCAATAGGATAAGAAGGGAACCAAAGGGACACAGGATGACATGTTTACAGAGCAAATAAAAATGAACCTCTGTTCAACATCACAGGCTTGCACTCCTAATTCTGTGGCCCTAATGCAGGAGAGCATTTCAGCCTGTGCTTGGTTAGGAAACACCTACTGAAATGCTGCCCTGAACCCAGGCTGGGATCCTCAGCAGAACTAAATCAGCCTGGCTTTGCAGCTGACAAGGTGCTGCCAGTTTTGCCTCAGCTGAGGACCTAACCCTGTCTGCAGGTGGTCAGTGGGATATGTTTGCACTGGATCTCTTCCTTGGCATGAGTTGTTTCCTGCTCTGGCCTTGCTGTGGATTTTCCTGTGGTGAAATGCAGGAGGAGGGAATTTTTGCCTTAATGCAATCCCGTTGACATAGTCTCAGTTCCTTCCCTCTCCCCTCCAGCCCTTTCAGAATTGCCTTAATAAAGAACCAATATTCAATGATGTGAGAAGTCTCTCCAAATAAAATGTTCTATAAAGCCAAAGGTGTGGTCTTTGCTTTCAGTACTGCACGTGCTAACATGCAAGGGTGTGCCATGCAGCTGAAATATGACAGATAAAAACAACCCAACTGTGGGCTTGTTAGGGATGTGTCTTCCCTATTGTTGAAACCACAGACTGCAGAAAGAATTCTTGTTTTAGGTCCCTTCCTAACAGGCCACTGTGAGACACTGCAGGGCCTGGTTTCAGAGGGAGTGTAGCTCTGAAAGGGACAGTTGGGGTGACACCTCCCACTGTGTAACACTGGAGATGTTCTTCTCTGCACCAGGTTCCCTGTCCCAGGGAGATGCCCTCACGCCAGGCTGAGGAGTGGATGTGGAGAAGGAAGCAGGGGATGGATGGGAGATGGTGGCAGCACCAAGGTGACAGAAGGGCCTTTCCCCTCCATCCCAAGTGAATGCAGACACTTGCTCTGCCTGGACAGAAGGGATTTTTCAGGCATTTCCCATTCAGCAGTTCTTGGTACCTCAGGTTTTTGGTGAAGGAGGCTGCTCTTCCTCCTCCTCAGCATCCCAGCACCCTGCCACAGCACTCCCCTGTCTAGCCCCATGCCCCAGGCTGCCTTTTGAGGCAGCCCAGCCCTGCAGCAGCCCTCGGCCCTGGCAGCAGTGCAGCAGGATGGTGAACCACGAGGTGGCAGTCCCTCCAGCTGCGATTTTAGAGACTGGTGGGTGAGCTCCAAAGATGCTCTCCTCTGGAAAAGGGAGAAAAATGGGGATATTTAACCCTAGGCAAAACGCCAACACCTGCCAGCGTGCAGAAGGGAGTAAGTGCTGCTGGCAGGGACAGCACAGTAAAGGCCTCACCAGATCTCCATCCCTATCTCCATCATCTCCCTTGGACAATCAAGCTGTCACCAGCCTGAAGAGTGACATTCTGGTACAGGAGAAGAACACTGTCACTCTTCAGTGCACCTTTGCTTAACTGGGTATTCTTGTTTGATAGACTTGAGGTTTTGCTTTTCATGAACTGTAATAAAGCTCCCAGTAGATGCTGAGGGGGTTAAACCCATGACAAACATCCAAAAAAAAGAAATAAAACAGGATCTGGAATTTTTTGCTGTTGCTTTTCTCCAGCTTCTTCCATCACTCTTAGAGAAAGCAGCTGCCTTTGGGCTTCATTCCCAACTCCAGCTGGCTTTGTAAGCACTTCCATTAGTGATTTTCAGTGCACAATTAATCATAATTTTCAGTGCTTCAAAAAGGCTTAGGCATTGATCTGAATAAAAGTAAAGCAGCAGCAGTTAGTCTAACTAGGAGGAAAAACCACGAGGGCAATCAACCCACATGCTTCAAGGGACAGTCCGATCACCAGCTGGACTCAGAAGGAAACATCCCCCCACAGTGCAGTGAAGTGCAATTAGGTGCACACTGAGGATTTTACACCTTCTTGTGAATCATCTAGCCTGGCTAGAAACCACAGCTTCTGGCCTCAGAAAGGGGACAGGCAGCAGCTGTGCTCTTCTTGCTGCTGTGCTCTTCTACTCAGTCACCTTTCTACTCCCTCCTGAGAAAGAAGGGGGCTGAGCCCCCAGCCTGACATCTCCCCTCCTTTCAGGTGCACCTCAGCTCTGCTGCACCCCTGGTCCCAGGCTGCAGGGCTCTGTGCCCACTGCTGCCTCCCTGAGCAGCAGCTTTGCTCTGCCCCCCATGAGAACAGGACCCTGTCCCTGTCCCAGGAGCTGGCTGGGCCCATGGAGCTGCTCCTGCCTGGTGCTACCACATCTCAGACCACAGTGGCTCCTGTCAGCTCTGCTCCCGGGCACTGGGGTGAACCTGCACCCCCCCAGCCCTGGCTCCTCCTGCTCCTCCACCCTCCCCATGGGTGGGAAGGTGTTAACACCTCCCCAGACCTCTCTCCTTATCTGTTGTAGCCTGGGGTGTGAGGTCTGTCCTGGGCAGCTGCTACCAGGGATTTGTTAACAGCCCATGAGCACTGACATAGAGGGTACAGAACACACAATTTTTGGTTCTACCCACATCAGGATAAACTGCTCCCAGCCCCTGTAACCATGACAATTTGCTGTCTGTATTTAGGCTTGGAAATGATACAACTGGCAGTAATCCCAAGAGATGTGAGGCAGCCCTGCTGGTGAACTGCAGAGTGGACATCCCAGCTGAGTGTGCTGGTTCCAAGCAGAGAAAAAGGGTAAGAAACTGATATAAACCAACTGCAGTGGTTCAGAACTCATTTTCAGCTTGAATGGGAACAGTGAAAAGAACCTGCCCTGCAGCAAGCCAGTGCCAAGGTTAAACTGTGCATTTCCTTCCCATCCTCCTCTATGAGCAGACTGAAAGCAACAGCTCAGGTCAAAACTCAGAGAAGAACTACAGAGCATGCAGAGATGTAATCTGATGTTTTAGAAGCCCAAGTTTCACATGGAGGCCTCCACAAACTACCTAAATAATCCACAGATCCCCAGGCAAGATATCAACTTCTCACACTGAAAACAGTTCTTAGAAATTGAGCCCAGGCTTGACAAGTCTCTGACCAGGCCC